TCGCCAATGTCGCCTCAACAAATTTGGACAACCGATTTGTGACAGTTGCGGGACACGGGGGGTGGGGGGGTGGGGGGGTGGGGGTCACGCTCTGGGGACCTTACCGGAAGCTTGACAAAAGCTGAAGCCGGCGGAGGACGTCGGGGTGGTGGTCGTCATGGAAGCCGGACTGGCAAAGATGGCACCGCTCTGCCCGAAGCTGGAACTCTGCCCGAAGACGGGAGCGCTGCTTGGGACGAAGAGCCCGCTGGCGGTCGAGGGCTGCCCGAAGGAGAAGGAGCTGGCCGTGCTGGTGCTGGACGCTGCCCCGAAGACGCTGCCGCTGCTGGAGGCTGCGGGGGCAGAAGAAGCCGCTTGCCCGAACGCCGGGGAGGCTCCAAAGCCGGCCTGGTTGAACGTGAAGCCGCTGGACGGGTTGGCCGACTGGCCGAAAACAGGGGCCTGGCCGAAGCCCGACTGGCCGAAGCCCGAGGTGGCCACAGTCCCGAAAACCGAGGGGTTGAACCCAGTGGCCGCGGCCGAGGACGACGGAGAGGTGGCTGCTGGAGGTTGGCCGAAGGGCGTAGGGGCCGGGGGGGCTGCTCCTGCGGAGACCTGACCAAAGACGGGGGGAGCAGCAGGGTGGGTCAAGGCCGCGGTGGTGGGCTGGCTGAAAGCCGAGCCGGTGGAAGGCGAGGAAGACGCAGGCAGTCCGGGGGGTTGTGCGAAGCCAGACGAGGTCGGGACTGCCTCGGTAAGGGCAGAGGTGGTGTTGGCTGTGGCTGGCGCAGACGCCGCGGTGGCCGGTGGGGAGGCCGTGGCTTCCGGGAGCGGTGAACCGATGGCCGGTGGAGTCGGGGAGGCCGCGGTCTGCCCTTCCGCAGGACCCGGAGGAGGAAGGAGCCCCTCAGGCCCCTTGGGCTCGCCAGGTGCCGAGGCCGGAGTCAGCTCTTGGCTGGGCGCTGCTTCCGGAGGAGCCGTCGGCTGCCCTCCTCCTTCTGCCTCTGCAGGGGGGCCGGCTAAGTGGGGCACTTCTGCCGGACGCTGCTCAGGGACCAGGACGGACGCCTGGGGCTCAACCTGTGCCGTGGCCAGCATGGCCCCTTCGGGTGACGGTGGCTTCTCCGCGGGAGCCGTTCTGGCCTCTTCTTCTCCTTTACTCGCAAGGGCAGCCGGCGTGGCCGCAGCGGTCAAGAGGCTGCCGAACGAGAGGCTCGGGGCGGACGGCGGAAGGACGGAGGCAGAAGAGGCTTGAGGGGCGCTAGTCGGAGGGCCCCCGAAGGCAAAGGGACTCTTGGCGGCAACGCCCGCTGGCGCTGCGAGGCCGAAGATGCCGGGAGGACCAGGATTGACCAAATGGACATTGCCGAAGATTCCACCGGTCGCTGGACCGGCCGTTGTCGTGGCCAAGGTGGTGGGGATGGCCTCTGCGGGCTTGTTCGCCGACGGAGTGTTTCCGGCCGAGAATCCAGGCGGCTGTGGCGCGGTGACTGTGTCGACGGAGGGACCCTTAGCCGGAGCGGCCTTGGCGTTCTCGTCGGCTTGGCCGACCCTCAGACCGGAGAAGCTGCCCAATGTCTCTCCGGCTGCCGAGGCCTGGATCGCCGGGTCACCTGCTTTGAGGGGAAGGGTCTCCAGCTTGGGGGCGTTTGCGAAGGGAAGGGAAGCCTCAGCCACTTGTCCATTGCTGCTAAGGCCAGTGGGGTCTCCGGGGCTGGCTCTCCCGAAGGCAGAAAGACTGGGGGTCTTGGCACCCCCAAAAGTGAAGGGGGACTCCGGGACGGAGGCAAATTTCGTTCCTACTCCGAGGGAAAAGGCTTCGGGATGGTTCGGCTCCTTTGCTGGCGTGGCTGGGGCTGCCAAAAGAAGAACGAAATGACTGAGTTGGAAGGGACCTTGGAGGTCTTCTACTCTGACCCCCCCTATGCTCAAGCAAAAGACCTTACACCCCAAAACCTACCTTCCAAAACAGAAGAGGCCGGAGCTGCAGCAGAAGCAGTCACCGCAGCGAAGTTAAACCCAGCCCTAAGTTTGAAAATAAAACAAACCAACATCGCATTTGTAAGAATTGCCTTATAAACGGCAGCAAAGTTTACCGGTTGCTTCTTCTATGCAGTCATGTATGTTTTTTTCCCTACGTTGTCTGATTTTTGGGCTACCCCTTTGTTCTCTCTCCTGCGGACAGCCGAGGATTCAGTCAAATTCTGGGGATTCAAATCATTATCAGTGTTCTGACTGAGGCTTCCCGAGAGCCAGGGAATTTCTCTTCCCGAGAACTCCAGGTCCCAACAAAAAAAACCCTTTTCTTTATTGACTGTGAATTCTGCTCCTTCACACCCAGCAAAGTCTTTCAAGGGAGGATTTACGGTCACAGACCTTCTCTGGCTTGGAGAGCTGACAGGCCGAGATCTGCAGATATCCTTGGCCAGGAGTCTCAGAGAGTCACAAACCAATTAAGGGAACTCCTGCAAACTCCACTTCCCTTTTGCTCCTTTTTTATTTCCTCTGGGGGGTGGGCATTCATCGTCCCCCTGTGGCCTTCCTCCCAAGTCGACCCCTGTTCTTTAGCTCTTCCCTTCGTCTGGCCACTCTGCCCATGCGCACACTGGGAACAGGCTCCAGCTGTTCCTCTGCCTCAGTGAAGTCTGTCTCCGAAGGCAGCTGATAACTGTCATACGGCCCTGGCCCCCTCTCTGCCTCCGACACAGAGCCTTCACCAGACTCCAGGACTGGCCGGGGTTCCTCCCCAATTGTCC